GTAACACGGTGTGGCCGCAGGGCCGGGGTGGGGAGGCCGGGAAGAGACAGTTTTCTAAGGAGTAAGAGCAGACTTACCTGACTTAGCCGCAGAGGTGTGTTTTTTTTTTTGCAACTATAGCAACCAATTACATCTCGCGAGAAATTTGTCTCCACAATCGCCGCAAGTTTAACCCAAGACTCGCGATAACATTGTCCGGGAGGGAAAGGGGGGCGGGGCGCAAGGTGAGTTTCTGCGCCTGCGTTCCGGAAACCGTGCTCCTCAGCGACAGCCTCTGTATTTGCGGTCACTTGTGTTTTCGCCGATGCCACTTTCCCTAGGCGTAAGTGTTGGCTAAGTACAAAGTTTTCCACCTCTCGAGTTTGCTTTTTCGACCCCTTTCTTTCAGTATCTCTCCATAAATAGGAGAAAAACCAAAAGCAAATTTATTTAAAGATAAAATAAAAGCCTTTATTAAACGGTTTTGAAAACAGGTCATTTAAACCTTTCTCCGTGAAAAATGCAGATAAGACAATATTTTAAAAGGGAGCCTGTCACACACTGTTGGGGAGGATGCAAAACCGCACTGCTTCTAGTGCTAAATATTTATACAATAAACAGACTCAAAGTATATGATGTTAATGCAAAAATTTAATACGTTTGAAATTCAACATTACTTTAGAGTTGGAATGGCAAAATACAATGGCAACAGAAGAGTGGATGAATACACTGATATATATTCACAATATCACATATTACAAAGGAGTCAAAATGAATGAACTGCAGCTCTTCACAACATGGATGAATCTTAGAAGTATACAACTTTAAAATGTTGCACTGCTAAGAGCCAGCTTGAAGGGGCTCCTGGCCAAATCACAGACAATTTGAGGATCAAGACAAACAATGATAATAATGGATTACAATCCATTGAATAAAATAGGAATACACAAGTTCACATTGATATAAATAAACGAAGAGAAAGGAAAGCTCTTTCTAACAGTAGAATGCCAACGCAATAATGGAGAGGAAATGATGGAAATAGAGAATTACCATTTGGCACCAACTACAGAAGTGGATGATTTAGACATGAGTCTTCAGTGCTAAGATTGGTGTGTGGAGGTTTGATGAGGAATTGGATACTGGCATGATTTTGGAATACTAATCAATTACAAAGGGAAAAACAGTGAATTTAAGAAACCAACATGATCAAGTCATCAAGGTTAACACCACCAGTGTCGGGAGGAGTCTACATTTTGTGCCTCCTGATGAGACTCACTGGGAAAAGCAAAGCATCATTTCGTGGTACTCCTGCAAACAAGGCACCCCGGTTGTAAGCCGTCCTATAGAAACTAAGGTCTGTACCCTTTAATAAAACTGTCAAGGCCATGAAAGACTGGCAACTCTTGCAGATTAAAGGAGTCTGAAGATACACAACAACTAAATGCAATACTTATTCCTATATAGCATGTTGACCCAGAAAGGAAAAGAAACATTGTTGGGATAGTGAGCGAAATTTGAATGGGCTTAGTAGATTGGGTAGTAGTGTTGTACCAATACTGATTTCCTGGTGTGGAAGATTGTTTGCTGTTATGTAGAAGAGTGTCCCTGTTTGGGGGAAAATACCCACTGGAGTGTTTAGGAGTGATGGGACATCATGACTGCAGTTTGCTCTCTCAACCCTCAAAAGTTTCAGAAAAAGACTAATAACAAAGGATGTATGCACACACACACATACTCAGAGTGAGCAATGAACCAATAACATTAACTATATGAGAATCTGGGTGAAGAGGACATGGGAGCGTGGGAGTTCTTTGTACTGTTCTGGCAACTTTTCTATACATTTGAAACTATTTCAAAAGAAATTATTAAACTATACACACACCCACACACTACTCCCCATGGAAACTCTTTGCTTAGGATACAATTACCAGAGCCAAAATTTAAAAACAAATTGTATTTCTGCTAATAAACATATTAAAATTATAAAAATTAAGAAAAAGATTTTTTTAAGTTGCAGTGTTATAAGTCATAAAAGTTCTCAAAATAAAACTATGCAACTGTTGAGTAAGGCATTTCTCTCTGGATTTTTTCCCCAGTGAGGGTTGTGAGTGAATCTGCGCTGAAATAACTATCCTACTTTGTGCACACATACCTTTTTTTTATGGCCGTAAGGCTTGCAGGATCCTAGTTCCCTGAATTTAAAAATGGGTATTTGAATAGACATTTTTCCAAAGAAGATATGCAAATGGCTAATAAGCTCAAGAAAATATGCTCGTTAGTCATTAGGGAAATGCAAATCAAAACCACCGTGAGATGCCACTTCACATCCACTAGGATGGCTACATTCAAATAGACAATGATAGTGTTGATAAGAATGAGGAGCAATTGGAAGCCTCATTCATTGCTGGTAGGATTGTAAAATGGTACATACAGCTGCTGTGGAAAATAGTCTGGCAGATCTTCAAAAGGTTAAACATACTCTCTCTCTGTGTCTCTTTCTTCCCCCCAACACTTTCTTAGTCTCTTTCTCTCTCCCTTTTTTTTTTCAGTCTCTTTGAATCTTTCAGTCTCTCTCTGAGTCTCATTTCTAAAACTTCTCTTTTAGAACGGGTAACGGTTCAGGTCCTGCTGTGGCATGGGGCTTATGTCTCAGTCACGTCTGCTGTGAAGCACACGATGCTCTATTTATTGTAGAAAGTGACTTTATTTGCTTTCTAGAATTGTTTGTAACAGATGGTATAAGAGAGGTAATAAAGAGAAAAATCTATGCTTGTAAAGAATACAAAAGTTAGTTTTACTTACTGTAATATGACTGTCTTAAACTTATTTTCTGAGAAATAAATGTTCTAATGAGCAGCAAAAAAAAAAAAAAGTTAAACATAAAAATACTGTATGTACCAGCAATTCCACTCATAGTACTATAGCCAAGAGAATTGAAAACATGTGTCCACAGAAAAACTTGTACATGAATGTTCATAGCAGCATTATTCATAATAGGTGAAAACAACCCAAATGTCCATCAGTTGATAAATGGACAAGCAAAATGTATATCCAACAATGGATTATCCTGCCACAAATCAGAATGAAGTATTGATTCATGCTATAACACAGGTGAATCTTAAAAACAGTATGCTAATTTAAAGAAGCCAGATACAAAGGGCAACGCATTGTATGATTCCATTCATATGAAAAGCCCCAATAGGGAAATCCAGAGAGACAGAAAGTAGATTAGTGATTCCCAGGGGCTGGGCAGGAGGAGGGGAAAAGGGGAATGACTGCCAATGGGTATAAGTTTTCTTTTTGGGTGATGAAAATGTTCAAAAATTGATTGTGGTGATTGTTGCACAAATGCATGAATATCCTAAAAACGACTGAATTGTACACTTTAAAAGGATGAATGGTATATGAATTATATCTCAATTAAAAAAAATTAATTAATTATTTATGTCTGTGCTGGGTCTTCACTGCTGTGCGCGGGCTTTCTTTTTATTTGCAGCGAGCAGGGTCTACTCCTCACTGCGATGCGCAGGCCTCCCATTAAGGTGGCCTCTACTGCTGCGGAACACAGGCTCCAGGCGTGTAGGCTTCAGCAGTTGTGGCACATGGGCTCAGCAGCTGTGGCTCGAGGGCTCTAGAGCACAGGCTCAGCAGCTGTGGCGCACAGGCCGAGCTGCTCCATGGCACGCGGGATCCTCCCGGACCAGGGCTTGAACCTGCATCCCCTGAATTGGCAGGCAGACTCTTAACCACTGCACCACCACGGAAGCCCTCAATTTTTCAAAGTTTAAAAATATATAGCTC